AATTCTCAAGTTGCAGGATTAGTTAAGAATAAGTCACCATCAGAACCTCAATACAGGAGGCTCCATAGATGACAAGCTTATTTATCATTTTACAATTTTGATATAATTTATATTAAATGAATTAATAATTATCTTGCAGATTTTATCAGCAGAAATATAGAATTCGGAGATGAATGATATCAAACAGTCCCTGATAGACGTCAAAAGACGAATGGAATTCATCATGGAGGAAGCTGATGATATGAAAATTGGAATTGAGCAACTAGCAGATACACTCCAACAAAATGTTAAATTGTTGGTTGAGATCTCAATTTCTCATTCCAAATATACCAAAGAATTGAGTGATAGAATTGATGAAATAACTTCACAATTTGTGTCACTAAATACCAAACAGGAAATACCAACTGATATCAAACAGGGAATAATAGAAATACAAACAGGTACATTGCATGATGGAAGCAGTAGTGGACCCAGCAATATCAAAAGAGATATAACAAGTCCCCGAAAGGTGATCATAAAAAGCAGTGATGTACATACAAGGGTTATCAGAATCAGAACCGATGAAGAAGATGATACCCTTTTTATCGGCAAAAGAAGAAGACTATAAGAAATTTGCCAAAATTGTTTATGAACTGGAAGAAAATAACTCCTATTTCATATCCTCAGGAGATCATGTTTATCAAAGATTAATCATTACCAAAGATGCAGACCCTTTGATGGTTAGAATGGCAACAGACTATGGGTTTTATCTATCCCGGAAAAGATCTAAAAGAAATTGAAAATTTTGATAATATATTCAAATCTAAGATATCAAAATTTGCTCAAGGAAGATCCATTTACATAAAATTTTACTCAACAAGTCAAGAAGTTGATGTAAGGATATTTTATCATGCTGAACATATTATTACAATTGGATATGTTGGCCGAGATTTCTAGATTGAAGTTGGTCAAAATAAAAAGACAATACCAAAAATCACCAAGTCATGGATAAAATCCCGAAGAGTCTTAGGGATGAAAGTTCTTTATAACATTGCAAAGAATTTATACGATAAAAAATTCAAATGTTTATGCCAATATGAATGATGGACACTTCTCACTAATAATGGAAAAGAGAAATCAACAATCCTAAAGGAATACATTGAAAATTTGATGCCCATCGTATCAATGGGAGCCCTACAACGATTCAAGAGTCATGCAGACTGATGGATTGTCCCACATGCCGACAGAGATAAAAGAAGATATGACATAAAAAGAAGACAGCTGTATACAATAATAGAGATAAAAAAAAGATGTGATATAAAGAAAACACTATAATAGATAGACAGGTGTGCCTTTGATGAAAATACATAATTTTTTTATGTAAGAGGTTTTATAAGTGTGCCTCATAATAGAGTTGTAAGGTATGCAATGATGTAAGAAGCTTAATAATTGAGCGTCATGTAGTTGTATAAATAGAAGCTTCTGGGCTAGAAGAAGGAGAATAAAAGAAAGAAGTGAGCACTCAACTTGGGAAGAAGCCAAACTCTTCTGTCTTTTGTACCAATTTTGAATAGATCAATAAAATTTCAATTCTTTTGTAAAAATATGAGTTTCGAAATTTCGTTCCCATAGATTCTTGAAAGATCTAATAGGAAAGTTCTTTCTTATTTTAGTAATAGAGAGAGTTTTTCTTTAACAGAAGTCTAGATATTTATCTTTAGGAACGATATAGTGAGAGCAAGAAGTTGAAACAGCAAAAATCTCGTGAAGGCAAGAGGTCGTTGAAGGGAATGATTTGCATATTCAGAGCTCAAAGATCAGTCAGTTCTAAGAATAAAGATCCAGATCAAAACTAAGGTAAAACCATTGTTTTCTTGCTAAAATTAGAATGAATCTTCCTAAGATCTTAGAGAATCACATGGAGTATTTGTTATAATGTTTGTGTTCATATTCATAATTTGATATATAGGATGTTAGGATATACAATTAAAGGATTAGATGGTCTATTAGAAAGAATGTTAGAAGAAATAAAAAAAATATTACTTCTCAACTAGAAAACATAAATATATTATCTGAAAAATATAATAGACTTAAAGAAAAAATATGAACAATATGTTACAGACTATTCTACTATATTAGATCATGGAAAGGATTTATATTTTGAAATTCAAAATAGGAGAAATACAAGATAAAACTAGTTTTAGAACTATTATAAAAAGTGAGGATATATTTTGCAATATATAAGAATTCATTTCATTAAGGATAATATAGAATTTTTAATGGATAACTTAAAATACCCTTAATGACCGGGCCAAATACATAAATCTCCCATGAATAAAATAACTTCACCAAACCGTGTAGACTTGAGAAAATCAGTGAAAGGTGAAATATTGACAAGCTAACCTGATACAGAAAAAATATTGATAGGCCTAAGTTCGAGCTACTTGACCCGAACTTGAGCTAATAGGCCCGATCTTGGCCCACTCCAACTGGGCTGATTTCGAGTTCGGGTCCATTATGAAGTCGGGCCTAGAAATATTAGTCCTACTTAAGTATAAACTCCTAGTTCATTACAAATTTTACCCTAACACTAATTGCGCACTTCTAACACAATACAAACACGTAAAATAACTAAAATTACAAGTTAAGTCCTTCCAGTACTCCCCCTCCAACATCTATAAATACATGACCTAGCATCATTATTCAGGTATGTTTTTTATAACATTTCAGCATATTTATTCTTGCACACTTGTATGACTGAAGCATCGGAGGGGCGACGAGGACACATCTCGACGCCTTTATTTCAGGTATTGAAGATCGGATCAAGCGGAGCTCTTCCATCCAATTCAAGTTGGCCTAGGTACGAATTTTGGCATCATCATTGGTGCCATTTGTGGGAAATGGTACATTAACCATGTTTTATTAGGTGCTAAAAGTCACTGTTTAAAATAAATAATTAGTCGATAAATTTTCCTTTAATTACATTTGATTTTGTGTGGCTTTTGCGTGAAGCTGCTCCTGTTTGTTCTCGCAATAAACAAACATTTTCTGGTTTTCGTTTTCTCTTTCCGTATACGCAAAAAACAACAAATTTTTTTGATTTTCTCGGAAAAATCCCAAGAAATATTTTCAAGGTTCTTTAATAAAGACAGAATCTTTACAGGCAAGTAATCAATTCTTTTGTCATTTTCTCAATATTCTTGCTGTTCTTTGAAGAGAGAGAGAGAGAGAATCAATCTGCAATCTTGGTTCGGTTTGGTTGCTTGTAGCCAAATGAAGGTATGATTCTTCGTCTTCATTTTCTAATCCTCTTTCTGGAATTGGGTTTCGGACGGGGAAAAACTCTTGGAATTTTCTGGGGCCTTCTTCCTTTCTCGGTGTTTTTGCATTGATCCCATTTGATCATTTAAGGTGAAAATTTGTCTCTTTTTTTTTCTTCCTTGGAGCTATTCTCATGTAATTTTAGTGAGTGTTTGACACCCATTTTAATGGGTTGAAAAATTTTGGAGCAGTGATTGATGAGAGAACCTGGGGGTGAAAAAGTGATAAAAAGTTTTAGATTTATATGTAATATTATTTTATTTGGAGATTGTGTGGTTGAAATGAAAAAGGAGAATGAGAAAGATAAAGAGAATGGGTGTCAAACACGGGCTTAATGTAAATCCATGGTTTAGAGCGATATTGGCATCTGAGTTTTGGTGGGTTGTTCTGTGTATGAACTGGATTTTGTTTGGTGATTTTTCTCCCATTTCTCGTTTATTTATGTGTTGATTGATTTGCTCTAATTGGAAAGCTCAAGTTTTGGACCTGGGATTGGATTAGTAAAAATTGTTGTTTATAAAAAGTTTATAAGTTTTCTATAGTTTGAAATCTTAGTTTGGTATGGGAAAGAATAGTGGGAAGATCAAGATAGAGTGGGGAAGTAGATCATTTGATTCGAGACAAAGTAGAGGTAATGAGAATAGCCCAAGAGCGATGGACAAGGACACAGCGAAGTTCATTTTGCTGTCGTAGGAATTGAAGGACGACGGGAATAGATTGTTTCAAAGCAGGGATTATGAAGGTGCCATGTTAAAATATGAGAAAGCTATTAATTTGCTTCCAAGCAACCATATCAACGTCTCCCACATTTGGAGAAATATGGCTGCGTGTTATATCCAGTTGGGCATTAGTGAATTTGCAAGGGCGATCCACGAGTGCAATTTGGCTCTTGAAGTTACACCGAAATATAGTAAAGCATTTTTGAAAAGAGCAAGATGTTATGAGGCTTTAAATCGGTTGGATTTGCCGCTCAGAGATATTGGGATTGTTTTGAAGATGGAACCGAACAATTTAAATCGGTTGGATTTTTTGCTAAATTGGGGTCATATATTTATTTTCTTTTGGCCCATACTTCTAGTTATCTTAAAAATATTCGGGCCTGTTGACTCTTTTATTTTAACCTTTGGGCCATTATAATTTTTACTTCTAGATTTCCACTTTGCAAAATACAGTTGGACTCATAGATAGGCCCATATATTCTTTCTAACTATTTTAGAAGTATTTAGACTTGGGGGTTACTTTATTTTTACTGGCATTGATTTTTCTTTTTGGGCCTTTACAAATGCTTATTTGAGTTAATTCATGTGCTTGGTTGAATACGTCCGCAAATTGTCCAACTCAGTTTTTCATCTTTAAATGCTAATTATGAGATATATTTCTTTGCAAACCTAGCATAAGACCGTGTTCTGTGCATGCAGCTAGTGCAAAAACCTAGCATAAGGCCGTACTCCCCGCATGCAGCTAGTGCAAAAACCTAGCACAAGGTCGTGCTCCGCGCATGCAGCTAGTATAAAAACCTAGCATAAGACCATGCTCCGCGCATGCAGCTAGTACACTTATCTATTGTAGGGCCCCGAGCAACTACACCTCAAAATAAAGTAATGTGTCAAGCTCGAGATCGGCTACAAACTGTAAAGCTCGAGCTACTTGCCTGAAAATATGGCCAAGTACACAGCTCGAGCCCCCACCAACAAAGTCTCGAGCTANTAAAGTAATGTGTCAAGCTCGAGATCGGCTACAAACTGTAAAGCTCGAGCTACTTGCCTGAAAATATGGCCAAGTACACAGCTCTAGCCCCCACCAACAAAGTCTCGAGCTATTTGCCTGAAAATATGGCCAAGTACACAACTCGAGCCCCTACCAACAAAGTCTCGAGCTACTCGCCTGAAAATATGGCCAAGTACACAGCTTGAGCCCCACCAACAAAACATCACTCGAGCAACTAGGCCAAAATCAGCCAAGTAACACGACTCGAAATGATAACAAAACATCACTCGACCTATTAGGCCAAAATCAGCAAAGTAACACGACTCGAAGTGATAACAAAACATCACTCGAGCTACTAGGCCAAAATCAGCCAAGTAACAAGACTCGAAGTAATACAAAACATCACTTGAGCTACTCCAAAATCGACAAAGTAATACGACTTGAGCTATCTCTTGCAACAAACTTGGCCAAAATGGTTAAGTAACACGCTCGAACTCATTATCGAGCTTATTGGCCAAAAATTGGCCAAGTAACAAGCTCGAACTACTTATTTAATGCAAAACTCGAGCTTATTGGC